CCCCCATTAAATGTACATATGATCTTATGCGAAGATTGTTGTTGAAATGAATGTTCTGGTGACAGGGTCTCTTTAAAGGCGCTGAGGTCTTCCTGTCTTTCTGCTGATGGATAATTTATTTGGCAGGCAGTAAAGTTTGATTGGTGCCTGGACAGCGCTCTGGTGAAGCTCCTACTCCGGCGGTCGCTGCGGTCTGTCCAGATCGCCCACAGATTGTTCTGGTGAGCGTTTCATCCCTTTTAAACTCCTCTTCTAGAATAGGAAACGTATTTATCAATTAGTGAACAGACCCACCAATCCCACTTATGTTTTATTGGGATGCATGGCAGCCATGCTGAGACGGATGGTCCGATGGAGGATTGGAGGACGAGGGACGGCTGTGTGGAGTATCCATAGAATCGGAGCGCATTTTGAGGCATTGCACTCCCAGCAGCTGCCGCTCCGACATCATTCACTTTTTATTGCTCTCTTGTTTGAGCAGAAACATTTTTGTGTGGAACAAACATGAATTTTGCTCTCCTCCTGCAGGCTGTTAACAGATGCTACAAACGAATCTCATTATAGACGCTTGTATCAGACGCTGCTGGCCGCACTCCAATTCTGTACGGGGAGCGCCATGAATGCCGAATTCTCCAGAGAGACCGAAATGATGAAAATCCTGCAGAGTATCGGGGAGAGGGTCAAGAATGCCCCGGAGGAGAAAAGACAGGTCTCTGCCTCCGAGATTGTGATCATGATTACTATTAATATTCTATGATGTAGTAGGGGACTCTCCGGTACCTAGAGGTGCAGGGATCAGTGTACTCTGCTTATGTTCCCTCTGGGACAATTGTCATTGTTGACCTCCCATACACAAAGGAACACGTTGTCTGAGGGGACAGTATGGTGCTCATCATAAGCTCGCCTAAGAGAGAATTTCAGGGTACATTGCCAGGACTTACTCATACTCAGCTTTGCTACAAATCATTCCCCCCACTATGTCCTCTTCTCCTCTCCGCTGTCATCCTCTGTATTGTCCTTGTGTCCACTGTGTCCTCTCCTCCCCTCCACTGTCATCCTCTGTATTGTCCTTGTGTCCACTGTGTCCCCTTCTCCCCTCCGCTGTCTTCCTCTGTATTGTCCTTGTGTCCACAGTGTCCCCTTCTCCCCTCCGCTGTCTTCCTCTGTATTGTCCACTGTGTCCTCTCCTCCCCTCCGCTGTCATCCTCTGTATTGTCCTCATGTCCACTGTTTCCTCTCCTCCCCTCCACTGTCATCCTCTGTATTGTCCTTGTGTCCACTGTGTCCTCTTCTCCTCTCCGCTGTCATCCTCTGTATTGTCCTTGTGTCCACTGTGTCCTCTCCTCCCCTCCGCTGTCATCCTCTGTATTGTCCTTGTGTCCACTATGTCCTCTTCTCCCCTCCGCTGTCATCCTCTGTATTGTCCTCATCTCCACTGTGTCCTATTCTCCCCTCCAATGTCGTGCTCTGTCATCCTCTGTAATGTCCTCATGTTCACTGTGTTCTCTTCTTCCCTCCGCTAATATCCTCTGTATTGTCCTCATGTCCACTGTGTCCTTTTCTCCCCTCCGCTGTCAGCCTCTGTATTGTCCTCTTCTACCCTCCACTATCATCCTCTATATTGTCCCAATCTCCACTGTGCCCTCTTCTCCTCTCCGCTGTTATCCTTTGTAATGTCCTCATCTCCACTCTGTCCTCTTTTCCCCTCCACTGTCATCCTCTGTATTGCCCTCTCCTCTTCTGTGTCCTCTTCTCCCCAGACTCTTCTGTCTGTCCATTCTCCCTTGCTCCATGGTCATGCCTCCCCCGAGGCATATTCACCACTCTTCTACTCACTATACTTATCATTCTGCCCTTGTTCTCCGATCTATATGATGGGCACCTGACCTGAACATCCTATCTATATGAACTTCATGGGCATCCCATTCCAAATCCATGGCTAATAATATGGAGCTGCCATTCCCCTTTGTGGCTATAATGACCTCCACTCTTTTGGGAAGGCTTTTCACCAGATGTTGGAGGGCCTCTTAGAATTTGTGCCCATTGTTGTGAGGTCAGATACTGATGTTGGATGAGAAGACCTGGTTCACAATCTGAGATCCAATTCTTCTCAAGCGTTTTCAATAGGGTTGAAGTCAGGGCTCTGTTCAGGACACTCTTCCTCCACACCAAACTGGTCACCATGTCTTTATGAAGCTGGCTTTGTACACAGGGGCCCAGTCATGATGGAGCAGAAAAGGTCCTTCACCAAACTGTTAACACAAGGTTGGATAAAGACACAATCATTTGAAATGTCTTTGTATGCTGTAGTATTAACAGTAACCTTCACTGGAGACACCAGAACTCCATCATTTGAAGGGGGTTTAATTACTTTTGGCCCTATAGTGTTGATTATACACATAGACCCTCCTCTTGCAGTGATGTGGCCAAAAACAAAGTGTTCCTTATAGAAGTAAAATTCCTTTAGTTGATTGTAAACCTTGAATTGTTTTCTTGGAATTGATTCTTATCCAATGAAGACCCATAAAATGTATCAACAGATAGCAGCTCTAATATTCTGAGTTGGCCAATAAGAGGATCACTGAACGTCAAACTTCCTGTGTTCATCAATGGCTGAGCCGGGCCCAGCTCCACGGCTGGTCTGGATGCTGTAAATTCACCTCTAATCCTCAATCGGTTTTGGCCGTTGTTTTATGCTCCCAAAGAGCGATCAATAATTTACAGCGTGAAATCTGCTCTCCGCTCGACTCGGCACTTTCATCTCAGCGACTTTTATATAGATATACTAAAAGTGCATCAAGTTTATTATTTATAAGTAGTGACATAAGAGCTGCTGCTTCTTTGTGCATCTTCCAAACTTCGACTCTGACCTCCAGCAATGAGTGTTCTAGTCCTAATGTCTGTGCGCACCCACTATCAACTGCCAATCTGCAGCAGCTGGAAGGCATACATTAAAAATGGATGGAAGGGGTTAGATTGGGGACATTCAGTCCTTGAGAGCCGTGCACATACAGTATGTAGTTCTACTCACTGAAAGGACTGCGTCATTATTGTCTATTACTTACTGACAGTCACATGATCCTTAATCAGTCCTCTTTATGAGAAGGGGTCATGTGATCTATTGTCAGCTGTCATCATCCAAAGTGTAGCCGCACAGGATGCGCTGTAATCCGTGGCAGCCAATCACAGCTACTCTGAGGATTTGGCTCCTCTCATTGAAGTGGCACCTAGATATCTAAACCGTGAAACTGAGCTCCAGATAAGACGAAAATTCCTTTATCCGCAATGTGCCAGTAAAACAGATCTGATTAGCCACGGGCCAGCAATCGTTTTTCACTCATCATCCCCCATGTATGCTATTGCCCTGGTCACCTGTCATGCGGCGGGCACACAGCTTTAACTACAGAGGCGGCACTCATATACAGAGAGAGATAAAGTCACCTCCAGTCGGGTCGGTGATGGGAAGCTGGCGGATTGTGATGATGGATTTTCTCCATCTCGCCTTTCATCTCCGGCTCAGTCAGAGATGAAGCTCCTCTGACACCTCCGGGGCTCTGCGATTTCTAACAGGACAGACAGAGACATCCAGAGGATGGCAGAGAGACGTCTGCGTGTGTTTACCGCAGAATGCCGTACAATTGACGTAATAGGCGATCTGATAGGACAGCAAAAAGCGTCCTATTGTACCAACAACTCCATTCACCTTCACCGGACTGTCGTTTTATAAACAGTAATACATTCAATATTTTCATATTAAACCTAAGATATGCCAATATTCGTGATGACCTCACAATATAACTGTTATCCTTCTACATTACCCCCCCCCAATCCGATTCTTTATTCTATCTGTCCCCCCATCTTATTCTGCTCCCTCTATACCTCTCCTTTGCTTCATTTTCCTCTATCTCCCCCCAACCATTTCCTCTTATTCAAATAGGTATTATTGTCAAACAGTAACAATGAACAAACAGTTCATTGGAATAGGAAATATTTAAGGAGTGAGTCCGGGTACATTATTAGGGGTAAGGGATAATATAATGGAGATAGGAGGTGAGTGCAGGGACATTATCAGGGGTAAGGGATGATATAAAGGGGATAGGAGGTGAGGGCAGGGACATTATCAGGGGTAAGGGATGATATAAAGGGGATAGGAGGTGAGGGCAGGGACATTATCAGGGGTAAGGGATGATATAAAGGGGATAGGAGGTGAGGGCAGGGACATTATCAGGGGTAAGGGATGATATAAAGGGGATAGGAGGTGAGGGCAGGGACATTATCAGGGGTAAGGGATGATATAAAGGGGATAGGAGGTGAGGGCAGGGACATTATCAGGGGTAAGGGATGATATAAAGGGGATAGGAGGTGAGGGCAGGGACATTATCAGGGGTAAGGGATGATATAAAGGGGATAGGAGGTGAGGGCAGGGACATTATCAGGGGTAAGGGATGATATAAAGGGGATAGGAGGTGAGGGCAGGGACATTATCAGGGGTAAGGGATGATATAAAGGGGATAGGAGGTGAGGGCAGGGACATTATCAGGGGTAAGGGATGATATAAAGGGGATAGGAGGTGAGGGCAGGGACATTATCAGGGGTAAGGGATGATATAAAGGGGATAGGAGGTGAGGGCAGGGACATTATCAGGGGTAAGGGATGATATAAAGGGGATAGGAGGTGAGGGCAGGGACATTATCAGGGGTAAGGGATGATATAAAGGGGATAGGAGGTGAGGGCAGGGACATTATCAGGGGTAAGGGATGATATAAAGGGGATAGGAGGTGAGGGCAGGGACATTATCAGGGGTAAGGGATGATATAAAGGGGATAGGAGGTGAGGGCAGGGACATTATCAGGGGTAAGGGATGATATAAAGGGGATAGGAGGTGAGGGCAGGGACATTATCAGGGGTAAGGGATGATATAAAGGGGATAGGAGGTGAGGGCAGGGACATTATCAGGGGTAAGGGATGATATAAAGGGGATAGGAGGTGAGGGCAGGGACATTATCAGGGGTAAGGGATGATATAAAGGGGATAGGAGGTGAGGGCAGGGACATTATCAGGGGTAAGGGATGATATAAAGGGGATAGGAGGTGAGGGCAGGGACATTATCAGGGGTAAGGGATGATATAAAGGGGATAGGAGGTGAGGGCAGGGACATTATCAGGGGTAAGGGATGATATAAAGGGGATAGGAGGTGAGGGCAGGGACATTATCAGGGGTAAGGGATGATATAAAGGGGATAGGAGGTGAGGGCAGGGACATTATCAGGGGTAAGGGATGATATAAAGGGGATAGGAGGTGAGGGCAGGGACATTATCAGGGGTAAGGGATGATATAAAGGGGATAGGAGGTGAGGGCAGGGACATTATCAGGGGTAAGGGATGATATAAAGGGGATAGGAGGTGAGGGCAGGGACATTATCAGGGGTAAGGGATGATATAAAGGGGATAGGAGGTGAGGGCAGGGACATTATCAGGGGTAAGGGATGATATAAAGGGGATAGGAGGTGAGGGCAGGGACATTATCAGGGGTAAGGGATGATATAAAGGGGATAGGAGGTGAGGGCAGGGACATTATCAGGGGTAAGGGATGATATAAAGGGGATAGGAGGTGAGGGCAGGGACATTATCAGGGGTAAGGGATGATATAAAGGGGATAGGAGGAGAGTGCATGTAGTAGGAAGCGGCCCCCTGGTCACTCCCCCCGCTCAGTCCGCGCTCTCCAACCCCATCAATATAAATAAAATACTTTTTGTCCTGCAGGAAACTCTGAAGTCGGGCCTGAATGATCTGGGTCGGTTCTTTGAAGAGGTGAAAAGTTGTCGCCTTCCTCTGTATCCGGCCATCGTTGTGAAAGGAATCAGCAGAGAGGTCGGTGTCCCCGAGGGATGGATATTTCCTGTTCCTGTATATGTGATATCAGACTTGTCGGGGGGAAGAGATACGTAGATGATGAATGGTCACAATTTGTATCAATCTGACATTGTACGAATTGTTGATAATATCATTGTAACCAGTTCCATGCAGACCTTCCATCCTCCATCACAACCCATCCCCCACAGATCTGCCGCCTACAGATCCACACATACAGACCATCTGACACAATACAATCTGATTGTACAATCTTCATATATTACAGTTGTCGGTCTCAGCTGTCCATGTTATTTCTGTGCGGTCAGTTAGGCCCTTGCAGATTGTACAATCAGATCAGATACAGAGGTGTACATACAGCGGCGTCACAAGGGGGGTGCGGCCCGCACCCGGGTGACACCATTGGAGGGGTGACACCAAAATGAATGACAGTCATTTTGGTGTCAGCCGCTCTAAAAAGTCGGGCACTCGGTCATGGACCGAGAGCCCGACAGCGCCAGGAGAGAGGAGGGGACCTGGCGGTATACTTCATCCCGCCGGGTGAACGTCCCCTCCTCTCTCTGCCGGCGTCCACCACCAAGATGGCCACCGGCAGGCGTCAATAAGATGACCGTGCGTGCGCGATGACGTCACAGCGGGGTGTCACCCGATCTCCGCTCCCGGTGACACCCGGCCTCGGGACGCCCCTGTGTACATACATGATCAGATGACGTTTGTAGGTCATCAGGAAAGCCATTGTGAATCTCTCAGCGAGCGCTTACCGCTCTGCGCGCGGGAAGAGGACGGATTATCAGTAATTGGGTTATAAACCAAAATCATCGGATTCCTCCGCTAATTAATATTCCCGCTCCATCCTCTGCGGTCGGCCAATCCCGGCCAGGAGGAAGATGGTGACATTTTTCTTTTAATCATTTTTCTAACTCATGTGTCTCCATTCCAGCTGTGTTCTTACTTCAAATCCAACGCCAAACCGCTGAAGATCACCTTCCTGAACGCCGACAGCAAGGGGCCCGACATCCACCTCATATTCAAGGTACAGGGGGGCGAAGTCTGCGTGCAGGAAATGGGTTATAAGAAAGCTATCGTAACATGTTTCCTTCCCCCGGGAGCAGAGTGAGAGGTGCGCATCCGGATTTGCGCTCATTCTCCTTGTTCATGGGCCAAAGCTCAGCTTGGGAGATTGTACGCGGCATCCGGCAATAAACGCCCTCATTGGGTATGACGGGAACCTATTATGGGGTTAATGGGCATTTTCAGCCATTTTATTTCCTTTTACTATATTTATGATGGAATG